TACTTCTTCCAAGACAGATTTGTTCATTCTTCTGGCAGTCCATGGTATATTCAATATTCTTCACCAACACCATAATTCAAAGGCGTCAATTCTTCGGTCTTCCTTATTCACCGTCCAGTTTTCACGCGCATAGGAGGTGGTTGAAAACACCGTGGCTTGGGTCAGGCGCACCTTAGTCCTTAAAGTGACACATTTGCTTTTGAACACTTTAAAGAGGTCTTTTGCAGCAGATTAGCGTAATGCAATGTGTCGTTTGATTTCTTGACTGCTGCTTCCATGGGTGTTGATTGTAGATCCAAGTGAAATGAAATCCTTGACAACTTCAATATTTTCGCCATTTATCATGATGTTGCTTATTGATCCAGTTGTGAGGTGTAATCCATACTGAAGACTGCGGTCTTTGACATTCATCAGTAAGTGCTTCAAGTCCTTTTCACTTTCAGCAAGCAAGGTTGTGTCATTTGCATAATGCAGGTTGTTAATGAGTCTCCTCCAATCCTGATGCTCCATTCTTCTTCGTATAGTCCAGCTTCTCAGATTTTTTGCTCAGCATACAGATTGAATAAGTATGGTAAAAGGATACAACCCTGACACACACTTTTTCTGACTTTAAACCATAGAGTATCCCCTTGTTCTGCTTGAACAACTGCTTCTTGGTCTATGTACAGGTTCCACATGAGCACAATTAAGTGTTCTGGAATTCCCATTCTTCCCAACGTTATCCATAATTTGCTATGATCTACACAGCCAAATGCCTTTTCATAGTCAATAAAACACAGGTAAACATCTTTCTGGTATTCTCTGCTTTGAGCCAAGATCCATCTGACATCAGCAATGATATCCCTTATTCCACGTCTTCTTCTGAATCTGGCTTGAATTTCTGGCCGTTCCCTGTCAATGTATTGCTGCAACTGCTTTTGAATGATCTTTAGCAAAATTTTACTTGTGTCTGATATTACTGATATTGCTTGATAATTTCTGATTTCTGTTGGATCACCTTTCTTTGGAATGGGTACAAATATGGATCTCTTCCAATCGTTTGTCTAGGTAGCTGTCTTCCAAATTTTTTGGCAT